TCAGTTGGAGTCGGTTGGAGTCAGGTGGAGTCGGTTGGAGTCGGGTGGAGTCAGGTGGAGTCGGTTGGTGTCAGGTGGAGTCGGTTGGTGTCAGATGGAGTCAGATGGAGTCGGGTGGAGTCAGATGGAGTTGGTTTGAGTCGTTGGAGTCGGGTGGAATCAGTTGGAGTTGGGTGGAGTTAGATGGAGTTGGATGGAGTCAGATGGAGTTGGTTGGTGACAGATGGAGTTGGTTAGAGTCAGATGAAGTTGGTTTGAGTCAGATGGAGTCGGTTGGAGTCAGATGGAGTCGGTTGGAGTCGGTTGGAGTCAGATGGAGTCGGGTGGAGTCAGATGGAGTCGGGTGGAGTCAGATGGAGTCGGGTGGAGTCGGTTGGAGTCAGGTGGAGTCGGTTGGTGTCAGATGGAGTCGGTTTGAGTCAGTTGGAGTCGGGTGGAGTCAAATGGAGTCGGTTGGAGTCAGGTGGAGTCGGTTGGTGACAGATGGAGTCGGTTAGAGTCAGATGAAGTTGGTTTGAGTCAGTTGGAGTCGGGTGGAGTCAGATGGAGTCGGGTGGAGTCGGGTGGAGTCGGGTGGAGTAGGGTGGAGTCGGGTGGAGTCGGGTGGAGTCAGATGGAGTCAGATGGAGTCAGATGGAGTCAGATGGAGTCGGGTGGAGTCGGGTGGAGTCGGGTGGAGTCGGTTGGTGTCGGTTGGTGTCAGATGGAGTCGGTTGGTGTCAGGTGGAGTCGGTTTGAGTCAGGTGGTTGGAGTCAGGTGGAGTCGGTTGGTGTCAGATGGAGTCGGTTTGAGTCAGTTGGAGTCGGGTGGAGTCAAATGGAGTCGGTTGGAGTCAGGTGGAGTCGGTTGGTGACAGATGGAGTCGGTTAGAGTCAGATGAAGTTGGTTTGAGTCAGTTGGAGTCGGGTGGAGTCAGATGGAGTCGGTTGGAGTCAGGTGGAGTCGGATGGAGTCAGGTGGAGTCGGTTGGTGTCAGATGGAGTTGGTTTGAGGCAGATGGAGTCGGGTGGAGTCAGATGGAGTCAGATGGAGTCAGTTTCAGTGAGTCGGGTTCGGGTGGAGTCAGATGGAGTCAGGTGGAGTCGGTTGGTGTCAGATGGAGTTGGTTTGAGTCGTTGGAGTCGGGTGGAATCAGTTGGAGTCGGGTGGAGTTAGATGGAGTCAGATGGAGTTGGTTGGTGTCAGATGGAGTTGGTTGGTGTCAGATGGAGTCGGTTAGAGTCAGGTGGAGTCGGTTGGTGTCAGATGGAGTCGGTTTGAGTCAGTTGGAGTTGGGTGGAGTCAGGTGGGGGCGGTTGGAGATGGAGTCAGATGGAGTCAGTTTCAGTCAGTTGGAGTCGGGTGGAGTCGGGTGGAGTCAGATGGAGTCAGGTGGAGTCAGGTGGAGTCAGGTGGAGTCAGTTGGAGTCAGTTGGAGTCGGGGGGGGCCGGGGGGCGTCGGGTGGAGCCAGGGGGGGTCAGTTGGAGAGGGTGGAGTCGGGTGGAGTCGGGTGGAGTCGGTTGGTGTCGGTTGGTGTCAGATGGAGTCGGTTGGTGTCAGGTGGAGTCGGTTTGAGTCAGGTGGAGTCGGTTTGAGTCAGGTGGAGTCGGTTAGAGTCAGATGGAGTCGGTTAGAGTCAGATGAAGTCGGTTTGAGTCAGTTGGAGTCGGGTGGAGTCAGGTGGAGTCGGTTGGAGTCAGGTGGAGTCGGTTGGTGTCAGATGGAGTCGGTTGAGTCAGATGGAGTCAGATGGAGTTGGTTGGTGTCAGATGGAGTTGGTTGGTGTCAGATGGAGTCGGTTAGAGTCAGGTGGAGTCGGTTGGTGTCAGATGGAGTCGGTTTGAGTCAGTTGGAGTTGGGTGGAGTCAGGTGGAGTCGGTTGGTGTCAGATGGAGTCGGTTGGAGTTAGATGGAGTTGGTTTGAGTCAGATGAGTCGGTTGGAGTCAGGTGGAGTCGGTTGGTGTCAGATGGAGTTGGGTGGAGTTAGATGGAGTTGGTTTGAGTCAGGTGGAGTCGGTTTGAGTCGTTGGAGTCGGGTGGAATCAGTTGGAGTTGGGTGGAGTTGGAGTCAGATGGAGTTGGTTGGTGTCAGATGGAGTCGGTTAGAGTCAGATGGAGTCGGTTGGTGTCAGATGGAGTCGGTTGGTGAGTCAGTTGGAGTCGGGTGGAGTCGGGTGGAGTCAGATGGAGTCGGGTGGAGTCGGTTGGAGTCAGGTGGAGTCGGTTGGAGTCAGATGGAGTCGGTTAGAGTCAGATGGAGTTGGTTTGAGTCGTTGGAGTCGGGTGGAATCAGTTGGAGTCGGTTAGAGTCAGATGGAGTCGGTTTGAGTCGTTGGAGTCGGGTGGAATCAGTTGGAGTTGGGTGGAGTTGGAGTCAGATGGAGTTGGTTGGTGTCAGATGGAGTCGGTTAGAGTCAGATGGAGTCGGTTGGAGTCAGATGGAGTCAGTTTGAGTCAGTTGGAGTCGGGTGGAGTCGGGTGGAGTCGGTTGGTGTCAGGTGGAGTCGGTTTGAGTCAGGTGGAGTCGGTTTGAGTCAGGTGGAGTCGGTTTGAGTCAGGTGGAGTCGGTTAGAGTCAGATGGAGTCGGTTAGAGTCAGATGAAGTCGGTTTGAGTCAGTTGGAGTCGGGTGGAGTCAGGGGGAGTCGGTTGGAGTCAGGTGGAGTCGGTTGGTGTCAGATGGAGTCGGTTGGTGTCAGATGGAGTCGGTTGGTATCAGATGGACTTGGTTTGAGTCAGATGGAGTTGGCTGGAGTCAGATGGAGTCAGTTTGAGTCAGTTTGAGTCGGGTGGGTGGAGTCAAATGGAGTCGGTTGGAGTCAGGTGGAGTCGGTTGGTGTCAGATGGAGTCGGTTAGAGTCAGATGGACTTGGTTTGAGTCAGATGGAGTTGGCTGGAGTCAGATGGAGTCAGTTTGAGTCAGTTGGAGTCGGGTGGAGTCAGATGGAGTCGGTTAGAGTCAGTTGGAGTCGGTTGGAGTCGGTTGGAGTCGGGTGGAGTCGGGTGGAGTCGGGTGGAGTCGGGTGGAGTCGGGTGGAGTTAGATGGAATTGGTTGGAGTCAGATGGAGTCAGATGGAGATGGTCTGAGTCAGTTGGATTCGGGTGGAGTCAGATGGAGATGGTTTGAGTGCACAGGATCAGTGTTCTTCAGTGCTGTTTCTCGTGTGCTGTGGTCTGATGTTGGTGTTGCTGGGTTCCTGCCAAAGCAAACGCTGATCCGTGCCAGAGCGTGTTCCTGCGTGTGGGCCGTTCAAAGAGCGCCGTGTTTTCAATTAACAGCAGATTGTAACGAGGCTCCTGATAAATTAGTGGCACACAGAGCTGTTTGTATTCATGCAGAATCTGGAGGTGTTTGAGGCTGATCAGTGTGTGCTTGTGAGTCTGACACGACTTGTGAATATAAACCGATAGCTGAGAGTGAGAGCTGTGATTGGATGAGTGTTTAAACACACGTTTATATTCAGATACAGCCACACTGATGAACTACAACACATGATGGAAGAACTACTTGTGTGTATGCTGTTTATTTATTAGATTAAAACATTTATTGAATGTTAATGTCTTTTATATTACTGTCCAGGATGTTACAGTGATTTTACCATGGAAAAGGGGCTTTTACTGCATCTTATTAGCTTTTTTTTAAAAATAATCCTATCTATTGTTATTTTGTTTATTATCATTATTACTTATTTTTCATTTTTATTTTGGTAAGACTTTACAATAAGATCCCATTAGTAATGCATTAACTAACATTAACAACGAGCAATGCATTTGTTTTCTTTCTTAAAATTAATTAATAAAAATACAACTGTTAATTGTTAGTTCAAGTCAGCTCAGGTCCATTAAATAATGTTAACAGATAACTTTTGATTTTAATCATGTGTTAGTAAATGTTGAAATTAACTAATATTAAAATTGCTTTAGAAGTATTTTTCATTGTTAGTTCATGTTAATGTAAACTTTATTGTAAAGTGTTGCTATTTCTTATTTTTATCTGTTTTTTTACCTATTATTTATTTGTTTGATGTAAGTCTGTCTGAGCAGGTTTGCATGTGACCAGTATTCTGTACGTCACTGTATGTGAAGAATGAAGTGGTGAATGTGGTTTTGGAGACAGAAGTGTCCTTCATGGATCTCCTTGTGAGGCGTCGTTCGTCAGAGTAATTGCAAACACGTCCCGTTTGCGCATTACGGCACATTAGTGTTGAGGAGGAGCGGGACGCACAAACACATGGCAGCGTGTTCGCCTCCAGTGAAGCCGCAGCCGCAGGCGAGACAGATGAGAGCGCGGCGGACAGCTGGGCCTCACACACACTCACTCACACACACACACTCACACACACACACACACTCACTCACACACACACTCACTCACACACACACTCACTTACATACACACACACTCACACACACACACACTCACTCACACACACACTCACTCACACACACACTCACTTACATACACACACACACACACTCACTTACATACACACACACTCACATGCTCACGCTCCACTGATGGAGTCACGACTCTCCACGAGCCTTTCTGCTCCTGCCTTTGTTCTACTGCATGTTAGAGACGCGCTGCTCTTCTCTGTGTGTGTGTGTGTCTGTGTGTGTGAGAGAGTGTGTGTGAGTGTGTGCATTATGTTCTACTGCATGTTAGAGACGCGCTGCTCTTCTCTGTGTGTGTGTGTGTGTCTGTGTGTGTGAGAGAGTGTGTGTGAGTGTGTGCATTATAGTGTGTGTGTGTGTGTGTATGTATGTGTGAGTGTGTGTGTGTTATAGTGTGTGTGTGTGTGTGTGTGTGTTATAGTGAGTGTGTGTAAGTGTGTGTGTTAGTGCTGCTGCTGAAGTTGGATCTGTGATAATAGATGCTTCTGGTTTAGAGCAGCTGAAATGACATTTTTTTGCATTATTGACACACTGTTTTCCTATTTAATGCTGTAAAGCAGCTTTGACACAATCTGTATTGTTAAAAGTGCTATATAAATAAAGGTGACTTGGCTTGATACTGATTTATATTCACACAGCGAGAGTATCACACAGAACTCAATCATTAGTGCTGCTAGATGAGTCCACCCAAAATACCCTAGCAACTGTTTGTCTTAGGAGCTTGTGAGAGGCAGGTCTGCTC